CTCATGTAGACGCCTTCTCAGCAGTTTGCCGGAGAAGCTATAGGCAAAGCCATTTATCACCAGATTCAGCGGCTGTGCTCCAGTCTCTTCAACATCCTGAGGCTCTCCCTCTAATGGCATCTCATGAACCAGTTGAAACATAAGCAGATTGTTCAGGTGGGATTCGTGGTCATTTGGATCACATAGATAATGTATGAATTCCTTTTTTTTTTTTTTTTTAACTTAAACCTTTCCAGGTAATATTTAAAGGCTCCTCTCACTGTCACCTCCGAAGCCAGTCTGTCCCTCGCTTCCCCAGAGACGTGTTACTTATCTGCCCTGCTGTGTTATTGTCCTGTGTCTGGAGGTTATATTTAATCCTGTTTTTCACATAAGTGTCATTATATTTTATGTCTCATTCTGTGGCTTGCTCTTTTCATTAGACACTGTATCTTGGAGATCTGTCCGTGTTGTTACAGGAAGCTCTAGCTCATTCGATTTAGCTGCTACATAGTATCGTTTAGTATAAATATGTTACAGTGTATTTAGCCATTGCCTTGCTGGCAGAGATTTATATAGAGCTTTATTTAAAGAGTTTGTCGATTCCCATATAACGATTAAAGCATCTTGCATAGCTTGGCAAAGGACCCATAAGAATCTTTCTACTAGCAAAGCCTGACTTGACAAGTTAGTCCAACTGTAAAGGTGAATGTTATTCATGAGAATAAAATAGGGATACGTTAAGAGCAAAAATTAACTGTCGCCAGACAGGGAAGCCCCTTAGTTCTCTCCTAGTACAGGCAACATGCAATCACATCAGTGTAATCAAAAGCAAAGAGCACTCCCAGAGCCCGAACGATCGGCCAGCCAGAAAATCCCAGAAAATCACCTTGGTTCCATGCTCTGGTTTGGGTAATAGTCTCGTGTTAACAAAAAACATTTTCAATAGGAATTTTTTAAATCATAGAGTTAAAAATACAAAACAACAACAAAAAAACCCTGCTTCCCGAGACATCTAAGATCACAGAACTGCTGCCAGATTCACACTCAGAGCACTGTGTGTTTTTTCGGTGTCACTTATGTAGTCAACATGCAGGTGACATTTAGACCCAGGCTTGGCTTACAAGCATGATTCAGGAGAACACATCAGATGGTGAACATGGGGAAATCTTCCTTGGTGTCGAGAGGGAGCAGCTTGAAGGAGCCACACTGCCGCAGGGCGTCACCCAGTGAAAAACAGACTTTTCCGGAAACTCTTAAAATCTCAACTCCAGCCCTTGATGACAGCCACCCAGGTCCTCTAAGAGAAACCTGTGGGGCGTTTCAGAAACATGCAAATACGGGTGGAAAACTCAAGCCAAGGTGACCTCTAGCAGAAATGACCTCTGCCGTGACTTTCCTCATTGAACTAAAGGGGCATTTGAAGCAACATCCATTCGGATACCAGCAGCCTCACCAAAAGCACCCCAGTTGCCTGCCTCCCGGTGTGCTCGGGCCTTCCAGTTCTCTCGAGGTTTCCCATTGCTGGGTTGTTATCCATCTGCGAAGACTGAATCCCAACGTATCTAGAATTCCCCTTCCAGATGGTTATAGATAATTTTTAAAAAGGCATCTAGGAAATTTAAGGCCCAAACAGCATCAAAATTTGGTGCAGTGTAGATCTGTGGGTTTATTTTTAACACATTACACAACAGTCGGTGGGGATAGAGTGGTGTGGCTGCTGCTGAAAGACTTAGAAAGTCCCCGTAGAAATGCCCAGAAATGTTTCCGAAGTTGGCTCACCAGGTCAGTGCCTCATCAAGCTGAGGTCCAAGAAACAGACTCGCAGCTGCTTTCCGTAGAAGTTGAAATTTCCCTTCATTTTTTTTTCCCCCCTAAAAGGTCTAGGTTCAGATATGTGGTTGGACTTCATGCCTGCCTATGAAAATTGGCTTAGTCAAAATTTTCCTTTTCTCCCCCAACCGTGTACATGACAGAAGCCCCTGAGCTGAATGTTTTCCACCCTCACGACGATACAGTGTCAGGCTTGTGACACGTGACAGCAGGTCTCACGCTCCGCTTAATAAGAGGCTGCCTGCGCCCAGAGCAGCAGAGAGTAAGATGCGCCTCTGATGCAGTCGGCGGGGGGGGGGGCTCCCCTGGCCNAGGCGAGGCGGGTGCGCTTACCCGCCACGGCTCCGTGGCCCGGGTGCAGCCGGACTTAACTCACATGTGAGGCAACTTTCTCCAGGGCCCTCCTGTGAACAGTGACGAACGTAAGCTCTGTTCAAGGCTTAGTAGTTCCTCACGTTTACCGAAGGTCCCCCGGGTGTGAGACGGGGATTCGGGGGATGGGTGCTGAGACAGATGTCTGCCTCCAGGCGGTGGCTTCGCAGGCCCTGAGGAACCTCCCGTGTTTCTTTTCCCTTCTTGCCTTGGTTTCCAGGAAGCTCGGAGGTCAGGTTAATACTTAAAACGTAATCGTCAGGCTTGGTTCTGGTGCAGTTGGGAATTCAGCCACATGCCTGAGGAACTGTCTTTTAGGCTGCAGTGTCTGGGCCCCAGGCGTGTGCATGCGTGTGTGCGTGTGTGTGTTAGACAGAAATAACCTGCTCTGGAAGGTCAGAGGTCAGAGGGGCTCTGTTTCCGGAGCAGGCCCCCGGGGAGGCGTCCTGGGAGGGGGAAGCAGCCTGCCTTGTTGCCTTCGTAGGTGTGTCAGCAGGCGGGGTCTTCGCATAAAATGGTTACACCGAGGAGAGGGAACAGTGGGAGCGAGATGAGAGAAGACTGGGTGCTCCCCGGGGGTCACCCACGTGAAGGACTGGAGGTCAAGGTTTATAGACGGAGGAAAGAGTTCGAAGGCCCCATCCATCCAACGCTGCTTCGCACAACCTGAGGATACGCAAGACTCGGCGCTCCTCCATCTGCCTCCCTGGCTGCGCAGAGCCCCCCGGGGACGCCACCACAGTCAGTTAGTACGGTTCATGAGCACCTGTCACAGAGCCTACCCTGCAGCCAGTGGGGACAGTCGTGCCTCGATGTCCCAGAGGTGCCTTCTCTGTCCATCGGGTCACAGGCGTCACCAGAGCTGACACGCCTTTCCCTGTCCCCTGCCCCCCCGCTGGCACCTCCGTGTGTGAAGCCTCAGGCAGCTGGTGCCTCAGAATGGTTTTTGTTTTGAAGAACTGGTCAGAAAATTTTGGAAAGAGCATGTGTTTCCTTGACGTAGAGAAAGGCTTTCTGATTCNGCTGGCACCTCCTTGTGTGAAGCCTCAGGCAGCTGGTGCCTCAGAATGGTTTTTGTTTTGAAGAACTGGTCAGAAAATTTTGGAAAGAGCATGTGTTTCCTTGACGTAGAGAAAGGCTTTCTGATTCTACTTTCCAAGCGGATCTTTAGGCCCTTCCTCCCCTGACCCCGTCACGTGAGCTCCAGGGGGCTCTCTATTTGGTGAACAAGCTATAGGTGGTCTTGGGTGGAGTTCTCCTTGGATCGGTGATAGGTACCCAGCAAACAGTACTGTATCCCCCGCTCAGTAAACAGTGTATTTCATTCATAAGCTACTTAATAAAGATGCAGGCGTTGGAATTACGCATGTAAGAGCTGGCGAAACCCTGAAGTCTGTCGTTTAAGTAACGGTGGGGCACCGGTGTGAATGCCCTGGTTTTGCCAATGCGCTGTGGTCACGTGACATGTTATCGCTGGGGGAGGCTGGCCAAGAGGATATGGGAACAGTCCGCACTACTTCTGCACATTCTTACGAGTCTTAAATTATTCCACAATTAAAATAGGAAGTTTGTTGTTTTCCTTTTGAAAGCAAGACAGAATCAAAGAGACCATCTAGTCCAGCTTTCAGGCTTTAATGGAGCAGCGGCCTCCCCCTCCTGCCCTTTCCCCCTCACATCCTCAGCAGCCCCCAGGCACCTCCTGACCGCTGGACGGCTCCATGAAATAGCCCTTCAGAGAGGCCCCTCCAGTCCAACACCAGGCTCCAGATGAGGAAATCAGGGCCCGCAGAAGTAACGTGCACCGCTCATTAGTGACTATCGATAGAAGGTCAGAGCCCTCTGCAGATCACCCCGAGTCACAGCTCGTAGTCTAGGTGAGGTCCATGGGACTGCAAACGAGGCTTTATGCTCCTGCGTCCGTTTCTGGTGTGTGGGAGATGTATCCGTCCGTATGGCTGAGCCAGTGCACAGCCGGCTGGCTGAGTTGGCAGGAGGTCGCACAATTTACTACTTGGCATGGGGCGCTGGCCTCGGAAGGCAGAGGGCAGGAACTCGGGACCTCAGAGGAAGTCCCCTGGCTTCTTGCCACCTTGGCGTCCGTCCCCACCCCCTGTGAGGACTGAGGCTGATGAGCTTTCCTCTTGTTTCCCATTCGGGCCCAGGTCACCGAAGTAAGGGAACCCTTGCTCGCCTTGGCTTACAGCCGAGGATAACATCATTGCAGTAATGCTCTCTCGTATTTGCCTAAGGATTTTCAGGTTGCAAAACCCTTACACGTTCGTTCCCTAAGCTAAGCCTCACTCCAGGCTCGCACCTGGGCGGACTGGTTTTCCTTTCTGCTCTGTTAACAAGGGACATGACTTTTCAAAGGTCACTCATTGAGTTTGTATGAAGGCTGGAGTCAGAACCCGGGTGTCCAGGACCCTGGTCCATGGTCTCCTTACAGGGGACATCTGTCTTCACAGCTGCTCGGGACACACAGAGCACCATCCAGGAGCAGGACTGTAACGAGGAAGGGCCCTGATGTGGACATGCAGGGAACAAAATGGTTTCATGGTCCCTCAGGACAGAAAGCTCTTTTAGCTCAGCCTCTGCTCTTACGTATTAATCAGCAGAGGCCCGAGAAGTGGAGGAGCGTGCTCCCTCCCCTGGATTTGCCTGTCTCAGCACGTTACTGAGGTTGACGTGTTTAGGCTTCATCGCAGTCTGGTTCCATGGGACCGTGACATGGGAATGGGGTGGGGGGCGGCCTTGGCTGAGCCCACAGACATGGTTCTTTGTGACCGGAATGAGCAGTGCGCTTTTTCTTCCCCCAGGACCCCCGGAGCAAGCACAAGTTCAAAATCCACACCTATGGAAGCCCCACCTTCTGTGACCACTGCGGGTCGCTGCTGTATGGACTCATCCACCAGGGCATGAAATGCGACAGTAAGTACGTTTTCCTTTCCCAGCAGATGGCGGGGCTCCGAGGCGCAGGCCCAGGGTTCCCCGAGCACTTCAGGTTTGGTAACTTTTCAACGCCAGCTCATCGATAAAGAGACTTCATTCCAACACACACAAGGCCGAAGAAGTGTAGGATTTTTCCACGATAAAGTTTTCTGGTTTATTAAACCACTTAACTGCCTAATTATGAACCCCAAAAAAGCACCCAACTTATAAGCGAAGTTGGTGCCGTCACCGTTTTTAGTGGTGGGAATCTTCAGTCACCGTGAAGTGCAGGCTCGTCGAACCCCAGAGCAGGTGCCGCGTGTTGGAAAAAGACTCGGCACCTCCGACCCCGTGTGTGGTTCGGCTTCGGAACCGGCTGCAGTCACAGCCGCCGTCTGCCTGCCTCCAGTCAGCGGGTGGGCTGTGGAAAAATCCCGTGGTTCTCCTGAAGCTGAAACCACAATGGAAGTAAGAAGCAGGATGGCATCTGAAGTCTGCTCACCCTGCGTGCTCGTGGGCAGCTCAGGTTCCCGTCCGCCCAGCTGGAGATGAAGTCACGGGTGACCAGCGGCGAGGACGACGGCAGCCTCGTCCGTTCTCCTTGTATCTCCATCAACAGCCAGGAGGGAAGAAAAACAGCTATGGAAACCCCTTGCTTTGGTAATTCGTACATTTCGAGATTCATTTTCCAGGCTATTTATTCGCTTAGATAAAAATGTACACCTTTAGGATATGAAGGGTTAATTTCTGCCTCTGTTTTCTTAGTAGACGAGAAAGCGTTATGGAAATACCAGCATAGGGTCACTCACTGATGACCGCTGTTACCCAGGAGCTGTGTATGTGCATCCTGCACGGAGCAAGCACAGTATATAAAATAAAGATACGCGAACCTCACGGAGTAGATGGTAGTTTCTCAGAACACGGGGCTCTGCCCCTCGCCACGCTGTGCAATTTAATAGCCTAACAACACCCAGGGATTCCAGAGGCATGGTTTTCAGGGCTTCTGCAAGTGCCCATTCTAAGTGCATTTGTAAATCTACTTTTAACCTTGGAACAAAAATGAGCACTTGAATGTGGGACATGGCCGGCCCTGACAAGTCGAAGATGACGTGGGAGAGCGGGCGTTGCTGGCGCCACCCACTGGGAAGCACGTGCAGTGGAGCTTGTCCTGCGTCCGCTGCACTGAAGAGCCCCCAGGACTGTGAAGCACCCGAGTTAAACAATGTTACCATTTGTACTCACTCCTCCGGATTCTGGGTACTGTGTAACTTTAACAAGATACATGAATAAGTGAGTTCTTCAGGCTCAGCGGAGACTTCACCTAACAGCTGGTTTCAAAGTTTTGTTCGGATCCGAGGGCTTTATTGGTGGTCCGTGAATGTCTTTATAATACATAAATGGTATAAATTTGAATTTATTAACGAAGTTTATGCTAATAAAATAATACTCACCTGGGTTATATATTAGGATTCTGCTTACGATTCTGTTGTGAAATGGGTTCTATTGCTAAAAAAAAAAAAAAAAAAAAAAAAATTTTTTTTTAAAATCTGAAAACCAGTGCTTTTTGGTTTTTGTTTTAAACTCCTTTCCTTGGAGTCCTAGGGCATGTGGAGCAGCTGCCGGTGCTCCCTCCTGGAGGCAGGAGAATCAGCAGACGGGTGCCAGGGCCCCAACCCCTCGCTTACCTTCTGCAGAGAAGAGACCGCTGCCTGTGGCCTTACACGTTGTAGGGTCACAATACTATATACAGTTCTGCTTGGTGGAAAAAGAGCTTATCAGGCATTTGTCTGGGCCAGCCTCTTAGTTTGCAGACTAAGAAATGGAATCAGAGAGGGAAGATAAGCTTCCCAAGATATAAAAGCCTCTAATGGGAGAAGCCAAGACAAGAACACAGCCCCATCTCGCCTTCACCTCCCTCGCCCTCCCTGTTGTCCGGGTCCCTCCCGGAGGCTGTGGCCTTTATTTCCTTTAAGTTTCAATTTCTTCCCGGGCACTTAAAGATAACTTCAGGAGTCTGTATCTTTGCTAAGTCAAGGTACGTGGCTTTGAACGCTTCGCTTTGGAAACAGAAGCCTGGCCAGAATCCACGTCTGTGAATCAACCAATTGTTCGCTCCTCCTGGCGTCCGCTTTCCCACCTCCAGTGTCCAGTCCTAGCAAGTAGACCTCCTTCCCTGTGCTTTCTGCAATTTATTCCACCACGTTGGAATTACACCCTCAAAACAAAACGGCATGAGGGCTCCCCCTTGAAGGTCACAGCCTTGTGGCACCCCCTCGGTGATTCGGGAGGACCCCGGTGGCCAGTCTCCCTGCAGAAGCCCAGAGATACGAGGACACGGAGCTGCGCCACCCACGCGAGCCTCAGGTTTGCGTTCAGCACTCAGCTTTCTTTTCTGGGTGTCTCGGGCTCGTCGCGATGACTGGCGTTTTTTCACCCTCTCCCGTCTCGCCCACGTAATGTCAGCGGGGAAGGAATGGCATATCATGCCAGGCCTGGGTTTGTTGTACTTGGAATAATATTTAAATGTTTGAAGACAGGTTTAAAATATCAAGTGCAAGTTCTTTAAAACACACACACACACACACAAAAGCAATGTATTTAAGCCTTCTTGAAAATACAGAGCTAGCTCAGGAAAGGCAAATGTTATGAATTTCCTAGACTCAACCCACAGGTTCTCACGCTTTCTGAGCGGTGAGCTAGGGAGGCATAGAAATTCTTTGGCACAAAGTGTCGTCTGTTTAAAATGTGCGTGTTACCCACCTCCATGTACATAAACTAGGGGTTCACCTGTGCTTGGTGTGCGTTTACCTGTGTGAGTTTTGTATACTGTTCAATACCTGAAGCAGTCGCAGAAGACCAGGCAGGGGGACTGTGCTTCAGTTGCAACTGGACAAACGTGTTGATATTTAAAGGATATTGTCACACACGCGAGGCCTGTGCTGTCAGGGACATCTGCTTGCAGTTCTTTATGTCACCAACAAGATTGTAGCAAAGCACCAAGTTGGAGAGTAGCTCGTTTTCACTTTGATCCCGCAGCCAAAACACTGAGGAAGTGGCGGTTTGGGCCCGTCTGCCCAGGCTCACCCTGTGCTCCCTCCATTCACAGCCTGCGACATGAACGTGCACAAGCAGTGTGTGATCAACGTCCCCAGCCTCTGCGGGATGGACCACACGGAGAAGCGGGGCCGGATCTACCTGAAGGCCGAGGTCACCGATGAAAAGCTCCACGTCACAGGTAAGGCCTGCCCGTGGAGGCGGCAGGCATGCGGCATCCCGGACGGCGCTTGGATGGAGGTCAGGGTGGCGCCGAGGCAGGGCTCAGACACCCGGGCTTGTGGTTGCCTCGGAGCGGCTCCGACTCAGGGCCCCTGACTGATCCCCGTTGGCACGTCTGCTCGGAGAGGGCTCTGTACGTGGATTCCCCAGTGCTCAATGTCGCTCCGAGTCGTAGCTGCCGTGTGGGCTGGGGTACTCTGACGGCACGGCCGGTGTATTATCCCCTGGCGACGGGAACGGGGAAGCCAGTTCAGCAAGATGCCGGGAGTGAGAATGGAAGCAGGGCAAGGGGAGGCGACGGGTGATCCAGGTGTTTAATGGCATCAGGCTGGGGTGACCCGAAAAGTCCATCTTTTTCTTTTTTTTTAATATATCTTTATTGATTTCAGAGAGAGGAAGGGAGAGGGAGAGAGAGAGATAGAAACATCGATGATGAGAGAGTCATTGATCGGATGCAGCCCACAACCCGGGCATGTGCCCTGACCAGGAATCGAACCCTGATCGCCTGGATCCTAGGTCGACGCTCAACCGCTGAGCCACGCCTGGCCGGGCCCGAAAAGTCCATCTTAATGACAGTAACAGCAAACCCTCGGAGCGGCTGTGCTTCCTCTGAGTTGGGGCCCGTGCTGAGCACTCCACAGAGATTAACTTACTTAGCCCTCATGGCTACCCGATTAGGAGCCTCATTATATTTGCTCGTAAATATTAGCCGAACTCCTCTTCGGCACTCCACATGTTCTTTGGGGTCACAGAAGATCCAAATGTGGGCCTTAGAACCAGGGGAAGGGAAGGAACGCCTGAAAGAGTTAAAGGACAATCCAAGTCCACGTTTGATCGAGCGATCAGTCGCGTGGGAGGGGCTCCAGGCCACGGCGGTGAGCGGGAGGGAGGACTCTGTGGGGGAGACTGAAGGGCCGTGGGTATTGGGNGCGGCGGTGAGCGGGAGGGAGGACACCGTGGGGGAGATGGAAGGGCCGTGGGTATTGGGGGGCGGGGGGAAGGGAGCCCCGTCGAGGGCTTATGTGGGATGTGGGAATTGAGCTGCTTTCGTGGGACCACAGGAATGAGCCATAAGCCGTAATGGGGAGAGGCGAAGGCCCCAGCGCAGGGAGGTCTTGGAAAACGCACCCGACCCCTGAGCAGCTGAGCTCGTTGGGCATCGGCTCCCTCTCCGTTTCACCCGCGCAGACTCGCTCAAACCGAGCGTAGTTTCCAAAGTAGAATAGAAACTCCCATCGGGCTCCCGCCTTGGGGCGGAAATCGCCCTTCCGAGGCCAGCGGTGAGCCTCCCGCCTGAATCGGTGCGGCATCCATAGGAAAGGCCTGCGCTTTCCTGCTGTTTTTACTTTTTGCCTTTGGTCGTGGTGCTGACGTTATCTGAACAGTGTCTTTTTTTTTTTCCTTCTACTATGAGATTTTAATAGGTTTCTACATTCTCATGTGCGTTTTTATTTGGTTTGGAAGAGTGGTAAAAAAAAAAAAAAGCCCTCCCAGGAACCAATTTTCAATTTAACGTTGTCAGTACATGGAAAAAATACTGCGTGTTTTACAAGTGTCTCGGGAACACATCTCTGCCACAAACGGACGATTCTGCTGAGGAGTCTGATTTTCTCATGTACTTTGTGGCGTCCGTTTGGCGTGGAGATCGGAGTGCGACAGGGAGTTCCGGGGGGGGGGGCTTCCTGCGGATTCTGAGCGTTTTGCACGCTAAGGGTCCCATCCTCTGTCTACCATCTGGGTCTGGGTGCGATTTGGTGCCCATGTCTCCCCACCCCAGCTGTCGAGACGTCCCGTCGCGGTGGTGTGGTTAAAATAACAACATTCCCTCCGTGGGCTTCCCGCCTTACGCCAGCATGTTGCTTCAGAGTCAAGACAGTGAGGCTCCGCTTCCTATAGTAGCCATTCATTTTTTAAAAAAATTTGTTCCCGTCACTATGTATCCCTTCTACCCCCCCTTCCACCTCCACCCAC